TGATAATCGTATGTGTGATCTTGTCATTGTGTCTTGATAGAGCTTATCTTAGGGTAAATGCTGTGATTGATTGATAATCATGACGATCCTGATATTCGTATGTGGTTATATGCATGATCTTGTGTTTAGACATGTCTAGAGCTTGTTATTAGGGTTTTACGTGATAGTATCCTGATGATCTTGTGGGTCTTGATGTTTTTGATTTAATATGTGTTATGGTCTTGCATCTTGGCATGTTTAGGCTTTGCATCTAGAAGTATTATCGTGTCGTTTCTTGGCTTATTCTTGGTGTTCAAGTCCGTGTTATTGTTGATATGTGTTGGGAGGTGTTTGGACTTGAATTTGGGCTCGATTGATGAATTCCCGGGATGAGAACCGTAGCCAAGGGAGTCGTTCCATCGGGTAGTCGGTGGGGGAACGAACCCCCACTTGACCTCCTGCTGGAACAGTGTCATGTTCCAGCGGGGTACCTGCGGGGGTTCGTCATCCCGCTAGAACGTAGCGGCCTGCCGGCGGGAGATCGTCCTCCCACCGTACCGCCCGCTGGTACGGGCGGTGTGTTGTGTTGTTTTTCACTGTTTGATGTTTCCTCATGTTCCGTTGTGCACCGTTTGATGTTTGTGAGTCTAGTTTGATGTCGTGGATACCGAATTAGGATTTGTGAGCCTGGGTATTGCATGTGGTTGGATTGGTATGCCGTTGGCCTAGGATGAGGTTTGTATGTCTCCTGGTGAATCTTGTGGTTACTTGGATATCTTGGGAGTGGGGTCTAGGTTACTCCCCGTGGGTTGTGTGTTTGTTTTGGTGTCAATTATTGATACGGGTCTACGTGTTTGTCGTGCCCTTCCCTTGACCATCCCTTGTTGTGGTATTTTGAGTATTGAGTAACGGTGTTGAGTATTGATCATTGTTGATTATTGCCGTTGACTGCTGGTTGTTGTGTTATGGCCCATGATGAGAAAAGAAATGTGATTACCATGCTATAGGCCGGATCACAGTACTGTTGGCACTGCGAGTGCTTGATCGTTGTGCTATAGGCACAGATCGCATGATTACCGTGCTATAGGCCGGATCATGTTATGTTTGGCACTGCGAGTGCTCGATCATTATGCTATAGGCACAGATCGCGTGATTATCTTGCTATAGGCCGAATCACGTTATGTTTGGCACTGCGATGCTTGATCATTGTGCTATAGGCACAAGATCGGATGATCCGTGCTATAGGTCGGATCATGGTGTGATGGTATCGATCATGGTGAGTCTTATTGTTGTTTTGGTTTTTATTGAGCCTTGTTATCTCATTGCCCTGTAGTCTTAGGTTGCATGCTAGTATCTTTATAATATTTATTAGTTTATATTGCCGAGTCTGTTGATATGTCTGGAATCTTGATCTTGGTTTTAAAGATAGAGTTAGTTAGGATTATATATGTATTCTTCAGTCTCAAAATGGTTTTCATATATCTACCTATATTGTACTCAACGCGAGGGAGTGGGTTACTAGCATTATTCGCTAATGGTTGTTACACCATATGTTTTTCAGGTACTGATTAGTAGCTTCGGAGCGCGCTAGTTGGATTCGTGGATCTAGCGTAGATAGCTCTAGTGTTAGTTAAATAGCCTGTGTGCCTTGAACTATATTTGTATATTGATTTGTGGATTATACTTGTTTAGTTAGTATAGCATGTGCATCTAGGTTCTCAAACCTAGATGTGGCATAGCACCCTGACTTTAATGCTTAGCTTCTACTCTGTTTGGGTATTAATGATAGATTCGCCTTTATTTCATAAGCTTTAAATGTTTTAAAAATTTAGGGGTGTTACATTTGGTATCAGAGCCTAAGTTTGACCCTAGGACAATGCCTTTAAGATAAGACATTAGGATACTAAGCTTGAACTCTAAGTGTTTAAGTACTTCAGACTTAAGGACCTTAGGACGCGCGGTGAGATTGTGAGTTTATTTATCGCTTCCTGCTATGTTTTCCTTTGACTTGCTCCTTGTTAGACATAAAAGTTTTTGTAGTTAAGGTGCCAGGTAAGGGTGCGTGCTCCTGACTTACATCTATGACCAATGTTAAACCTGTAGAAAGCTGCAATGATGCCACTAAGAGACCAGGCCAGGACCCCCGAGACACCCACCAACGACCCATTGACCCAAAACCTACAGCAGTTGACCCAGATCGCCCAAACATTGAGCGACACTGTAACACCCCGTGTTACGACCTTCAAGTCCGAATTAATTATTGTTGTTTTGGTTTTTATTGAGCCTTGTTATCTCCTTGCCATGTAGTCTTAGGTTGCATGCTAGTATCTTTATGATGTTTATATTGCCGAGTCTGTTGATATGTCTGGAATCTTGATCTTGGTTTTAAAGATAGAGTTGGTTAGGATTATATATGTATTCCTCAGTGTCAAAATGGTTTTCTTACATCTACCTATATTGTAATCAACGTGAGGGAGTGGGTTACCAGCATTATTCGCTGATGGTTGTTACACCATATGTTTTTTAGGTACTGATCAGTAGCTTTGGAGCGCGCTAGTTGGATTCGTGGATCTAGCATAGATAGCTCTAGTGTCAGTTAGATGGCCTGTGTGCCTTGAATTGCATTTGAATATTGATTTCTGGATTATACTTGATTAGTTAGTATAGCCTGTGTATCTAGGTTCTCAAACCTAGATATGGCATAGCACCCCGACTTTTATGCTTAGCTTATGCTCTGTTTGGATATTAATGATAGATTCGCCTTTATTTCATTTAAGTTTTAAATGTTTTAAAAATTTAGGGGTGTTTTAAGGCGTACTAGGCCATGAACCAGGCGACCACCCCACCAAATCAGTTTACACTTATGGCGATAAGAAGGGTCAGGAGCCGATCATTCACCCCTCCTCGCGAGGCTGACTGACTTGGCTTTCTCAAGCCTGAGGTTGAGATGGATGGGTACTAAGTAGCCACGCTGCGTGAAGATAGGAGTTAACCACTCACCCCTCCTAGCGATGCTGACTGACTTGGCTTTTTCAAGCCTGAGAATTTGGGATGTAGTGAGTGTTGAACAACTTTGCTGCTGGCAGGAGCGAGGACCATCCGCCGAGTGCCCAGCTAACCTGGTCTCCGCCAACTTGAGGGTTTGAGCCATTAGGAACTAGTCAAGCCTCCGCACTCGGCAAGGCCATCGGCCTGATTTAGATAGTTCATTTTTTCTAAAATCAGCCAAGGCAAAGGGGTAGGCAATCGGGGTTGTTCACTAAGTAAAAGAGAAACTCGCATGTGGTCAGCTTTTCCCACTAAGGGACTTAGCTGAATTTGGCGTCGATTTAGGAGGTCCGAGTGGGTAATGGAGTTCGCAAGCAATAAGGTTTGCAGGCAGTCAGCTTTGCCCACTGATGTACTTAGCCGATTTTGGCGTTGGCGGAGGATGCCCATGTGGGAAGGCAGTGTAGTCTGGTTTGCTAGTTCCTGAGGGGTTTCCAGGCAAACAGTCTTCCACGCTGGGGGACTTGGACGATTTGAGCGTTGGAAAACATGCAACAAGAGTGACTGGCTAGTTTCCGTACTTGGCGAAATTTAACAATTGTTAACAAATTCAAAAGCGAATGAACAGACTGACAAGAAATAAAAAGATTCATTAAAAAAAACCCTTAAAGGGGAAAGTGAATTACATCAAAAGAAATGAGATGAAGCCCTATCAACTACCCTAACTAGCTGATCGACCAGCAGCAATGTTGTGGGCACGTGAATTGTTAGAATATTTTATAATTAGTTTTATTAATTAATTAGAATGATTATTTTAAAATTATTTTATATTTAGTTTGTTAGAATTATATTATAATTTATGTTTATCTTAGTTTTTTTTGTTAGGATTAGTTTATCCTATCTCATTCATGTGGTTGTAATAATCTGTTTGTTAATTGTTATTTAAGGCCATTGCAGGCATAATGAAATAAAAATGTTTGAGAATTTTTAAGATATGAAACTAAGTGGGTGTTTGGTTGGACGGAAAACATTTTCCATAGAAAATGTTTTCCTAAAAGTGAAGGAAAATGATGTTTTATGTTGTTTGGTTGGATGGAAAACATTTTCCATTGGAAAAAGTTTTCCTTGAGAATGACGAAAACAAATTCCTAGCCTATCCTAGGTATTTTGTTTTCCATGGAAAACTAAAATGACAATTTTAGCCTCACCATTATTTATTAATTACTCTTATTATTATTATATTATTATTGTTGTATAGGGTCATATTTGTCATTATACACATTATTCCTTACCATTCCAAACTCAACCAAACACTGGAATTCATATTCCCAGTAATTTCTTTTCCACCAACCAAATAATGGAATCTATTTTCTTGGAATTTATTTTCCATGGAATTTTAATTCCATTTCCTTTCAAATATTTTCCAGCGAACCAAACGAGCTGTAAGTGTTTTCAAGAACTCGGGAGAGTTCGACCATGATCAAGTCATGGTGATCCTGACTTATCAAGTGTGAAACCTCACTTGTGGTGTCGTCTCAAATCCTACGTATCACCGTATAACCCCGTGTGGCCGAGGATAGGGGTGTGCAGCGGACGGGTTCGGGCGGATCGGATTGGGGAACCGTTCATCCGATCAGACTTCGGATTGGGGAAAACTACCCCAATCCGGTCGAATTAAGAGGGAAATCCTTTCGGATTTCCCATGTTCGGATACGGTCGGGTGGGGGTCGGATTTCAGTTTGAAGTCGGATTATAAAACATACCAAAAAAAAAAAAACTGTAAAAATGTCCAACAAACTTAATAACCCTAAAATAAATTACCAAAGCTATGTAGGCATTTAGATACATAATTACATATTGCAGTTTCCAACTTTGGCTCAAAAAGCAAAAATGAAGTTCACAAAAATACACACAATAAACAATTCTCAAACAACACTAAACTACTAAGTACTAATTACTAAAGTACTCAGCAGTCAGCAATTAGCAATTCAGCATTCAGCATTAGTCACCATTCACCAATCAGCCTTCAGCAATCAGCATTCATCCATTCCATCTTCCTGCTCAATTATAAAACCATTAAAGGTTTTAAAATTTAAAGCCAATAAAGACAAAGAGAAGTAGAGAACTAATAATAATTAATAACAAAGGCTCAGATTGCTTTTTTTCATATCATTTTAGAGTTGGGGGCAAATTGCTTCATGAGTTTTGTCTCAGAGCAACATACCAAACACCCAAAGTCCTTTTAATTCAGACAAATGGTGGAAGCATCATCATAGCCATAACTAAACAGAAAGCAGAATATGAGAGGAAGGGAAGTGATATACCAGAATTCCAGAATACCAGAGATGTAACTGAGTAAGTGCAGCAACATTTATAAAAAAGTTACCAAGCCACTTAGCAATTAGCAGTTCTGGAATCTTACCTGAGTTACCTCAAAGAGTCCACACATTTATCAATCAAACTAAACAGAAAGTCAGAAAGCATTCAAAGCAATGTTATATAAAAGTATTACAGCAATTGTTGGGAGTGTTCCAACAGTACCTGGTAAAGAACCAGCAGCTCCAGTGGACAATTCTGCACAAAAAGGAAAAACAAAAAAGAGTTTAGAAAAGGTAACAATTAACAATTTATAAAGTTGAAACCTAGAAAGTTAGAAAAAAAAACAGTACCCTTCTCTAATCTTTCAACATCATCCAAGTTTTCCTCAACAGAGATTGGATGATTGGGTGCCCTCAACCAATCTTGTGCACATACTAGGGCTTCAACAATTTTAGGATTTAAGGAACTCCTAAAGGCATCTAATACCCTACCACTAGTACTGAATGCACTCTCAGAGGCAACAGTTGAAATGGGAACAGCCAGCACATCTCTTGCCATTCTAGAGAGTATAGGAAATCTATCACTATTGACCTTCCACCATCTTAGGACATCAAAGTCCACATTTTCTTCATCTTCCACTAATTTTTCACTTAGATAAATCTGGAGTTCAGTTTCTTTACTGCTTCCACCAGACTCCATTCTCTGTTTTTTAAGCTGGCTTTTCATTCTAGCCTGAGGTTTTCCAACTGAAGTTTGAGAATGGACAGGTTCAGATTGGGTAGATTGCAATTGCACAGTAGGGGATGCAGACTGCACATGGTAGGTGGCTGTATAATCATTAAACATTAGAACCATAGAAGATTGAACCTTTTCAAAGCATGATTTTCCTTTTTCATCACCATATAACTGGGCAAATTGGGCAGGCATGTACTCAATCTTATCCCTAGGATCCAAAATATTGGCATAGAATATCAAGATGTTCATTTTTTCAGGATCTCCCCAATATTTTTCAAATTTTTGTTTCATATGGGACCCCATTTCCTATAAAACAGACATAACACAGAAAAAATTAACACAAAGTCAAACACAATTCACAGATGCATACAAACACATTCAGAAAATGTTAACAATTTACCTTTTCAGAGGTTGAAACAGAGTTAACCATGTCATCCAGCATGCAACCTAAGTCAGAAATCTCAGAAAAGAAAGTATTTGAAGTGACATAGAGAGAACCAGATATTCTCACAGTCATCTCATAGAAGCCTTTCAGGAAATTGACTAAGCTTTGCACAGAAAGCCAATCCATAAAATTTGGAATAGAATCAGATAAGTCAGCATTCAATGAGGCATCATTCTCATAAGCTTCAAAGGCCTTCTGGTATTGAAGGGCAGTGTTGAGAATCATGTATGTGCTGTTCCATCTTGTTGGAACATCAAGTTGTAATGCACATTTGGCTTCCACCCCATTAAGCACAGCAATCTCTCTAAACTTCTTAAGTCTGGCAGGAGAACTCCTCACCCATCTCACAACATCTCTAACTTTCTTAACAGAAGGACCTGCATATCTCAACCCATCCTGAACCACTAAGTTCAACACATGGGCTATGCACCTGATGTGCATATATTGAACCCTAACAGAAGACCCACCCCATGACAGAAGTTTGTTCTTGAAAAACCCCAAAGCTGTGTCATTTGAAGAGGCATTATCAATAGTAACAGTGAAGACATTTTTAATCCCCCAATCAATAAGACAACTCTCAAGGGCTTTGGCTATGTACTCTCCCTTATGAGAAGAAATTGGGACAAAGGAAATGATCTTTTTGTTAAGCTTCCACTGATCATCAATGAAATGTGCAGTAATGCACATGTAATTTATCCTTTGGACAGAGGTCCATGTATCAGTGGTCAAGCTGACCCTTTGGGTGCTCACCCTAAACAACTTTTTTAGGCTTATTCTCTCATCTAGGTAAATCAGGTAAATGTCTCTAGAAATGGTCCACCTAGAAGGGATTTGAAACCTAGGACAAGCAACTAAAATGAATTTCCTAAAGCCATTTCCCTCAACAATCCTAAAGGGAAGTTCATCAACAATGATCATCTCACACAATGCCCTCCTAATAGCCTCTTGGTTGAAAACCCAAGTCCCCAAAACCCCCTCAGAAGCTTCTGTTCCAGAGGCATTAAAGGTGAGAAGAGATTGCCTTGTGTCCTTACAATGAGGATTTTTTAGGCAGGCCTTCATATGGTTTTTCAATGAGGAAGTGCCATGCTTTTTACTTTCACATTTATAAATTTTTGCACAATAAAGGCATTTGCCCTCAACTACTGGTCCCTCAGTTTCACCTTCAGCAGGTGGAGCACGGATCTTTTCAAAATGATCACATACTATATATTTAGACTCCACCTCTTTCCTCTTCTTTGTAGGAACAACAGGAGGAGAAGGCATAGGATTTGTCTGAGGATTTCTCTCAGTACCTTGAGCTTCTACTCCATACTCCTCATCAGTTGAGGTTGGAGGGTGTCCAGATGCACTGATGCTTTCCATCTATAAAGATGGGCATCAGTATCCAAATAAAGCAGACAACCAAACAGCATGTGAGATTACCAATCATACAATCATATTAAAGCTTCCACCATACAATCATACATAGAAGTATTACATATTACTTTCAGTTAATTTCACATGTCATCATGTATGCAGAATTGCACATAAACAATTTAAGGGTCACATATCCATAAACTTAATACAATTTACAATTTACAATTTACCAAAGGTCGGCCTCGTGTTTTGAGGTTTTCCCAGTTGAACCCTGGTTCTTGTTGGTAAGCGGGACCCTCGTGGATCCACCAAAGGTCGGCCTCGTGTCCGAAGTAGAATGAGGCTATCTCTACGCGACGTTCTTCTGGGCATTCCACTAACCCGAGTATCTTTTCGAGGGTCCGGATCCATTCCTCCAGGATCACGGGGTCCTCTTCTCCTGAGAATGTGGGCGGTCGATGGTTTGAAACTTGTCGGGCGACGTCTGAGTTCGCGTTTGATGGAGGAGGCGGGGGCCTGTTGTTGCGAAGAGCTACGTCGCTTAGTGCCTGGGCGACTTGCGTTAGTTGTTACAGTGTTTGGTTCAGGGGGTCGTGTGTGGTGGGTTCCGGAGTCCTTGATTGTCTTCTATTGGGTGCCATGCTGTCGTTTTTTTTGAGTCAATGTTTTATAAGAACATTAAATTAGAGCTTGGCGTCTTTCTTTGACGTGATAAGCGGAGGAAGGTTTTCTTTCGACAATGAAGGGATGAAGTGAGGGGGTTTATGTGTAGGTTTCACAATCTCACCGCGCGTCCTAAAATTCTCGCGTCCTATGTTCCTAAATACCTAGAGTTCAAGCCTAATGTCCAAAAGTCCGGTTTTAAGAGTCTTATCCTAGGGTCAATCTTAGGCTCTAATACCAACTGTAACACCCCAGATTTTCAAGAACATTTAAAACTTATATAACAAGGATAACATCTCACTAAATCCCAAAGTATAACATAAGCGTACGGGGTGCTATGCCACACCTGGGCTAGAGAACCCAGGTGCACAGGCTATCTAACTAATATCCTATGAAATATAAATGCATAACATGGCACGCAGGCCAAAAGGGAAACTACTCTACTTCTACGCTCCAGTCTAGCGCACTCCGGTGTTCTAATCCTCTGTGCCTGAAAGCCAAATATATCTGTTCAGCGAGAGATGCTGGTAACCCACTCTAACGCGTTGAAATACAATACATATAGAGATATATATATATATATAGATATACGAAAACCATTTTGAGCATGAAGATATATTCTACAAACTCTAACTTTTAAAACCGGGAATGACTCGACAGATAAGGCTAGACACAAGCAACGGTTATAACAAGCGTATACAATCCACAACAGGCAAGACAGATAAAGCTGAGCACAATTAATAAACATAACCCAACATAAACAATCCCCAGCATAAATCCCATAGTCACATCCCCCAAGATACTCATAACTCATCCATATCTCATCGAATAGCACACTTTGTTGGCGCCACAGGACCAATCGCATGCCCATACATGAGGGTCAGCGCATATAGCTCTAACACGGCCCCGCAGCACCCTGCCCCGTATCGCAACACGGAGGGGTCGATCGCAACCGACCGATGAACCGCAACTCATCATACTTTGATCGCAATCAAACAGTGGACCGCAGCCCAAAAGAATGTCATCTGACCGCAGCCAGGAAAGTATGAACCGCAGCTCATGTAGAAACGTTTGATCGCAACCAAACGGTGGACCGCAGCCCAAGAGTGTAAATCTGACCGCAGCCAGCTTCTGAACCGCAGCTCAGGAATAACCAATCCGATCGCAACCAAATTGAGGTGTCATGCACACATAACACATAGCAAGCACATGCAACCCACATTAACACATTGGGAAGGGGAGAAAGCGTATAACAAAACCTATGCGTGATCCTTCACATACTAAGAATGGTCCTAAGGGGTTCATACTTCTTCCACCTAGGTCAACGGGATACCAATTCAACTAGTATGCAATATATAAGACTCATAACCTACGAACGGTACCCGAAACATCAAACTAGACACGGCACGATGAACGGAGTCCGTTGGGACACCACGGGGATCGGGGAAACATCAAACGGGGAAGCCGGGGTCCCGAATGGGGGAGATTTCCAGCGGGTAGCCGGTGGGTGGGGGGCCACCCGCCGGCTGCCCGCCGGTAAGCACTGTTCCGGGCAGCGGGTCGCCGGCGAGCAGCTGCCCGCCCGCCGGCTGCCCGCTGCCGGAGACGTCCCTTCTGGCCGCGGGTTGGTGGCGGGGTCCCCTACCCCCCACTGACTCTTTATACACAAAACGCCCCGGGAACCATTGTGGAACCCGAAACCATGCTTAGACACTTTACAACGCAATTAACGATCAACACGTAGACAGTTAACGGATCAAATACGAGAAACGTACGGCACATAACCTATCATGCTTTTCTAAACATAATCGACACCCAAACATGCGATTTCCCCACCCGATACACCAAGAATAATATCATACGATACAACCTAGGGTTCTAATCACTTTTATACCAACAAGAATACGATTCGTCTTCTAATTACAAGATTCGGTATAAATAACACATAAGCATCAAGAATGCCATACAATTATCAAGAACGACATATAAACATCAAGAACTCCACATGATCATCAAGAACACCATAATTATCAAGAATCTCCCAATATCAAGATCACCCATGGAATTATCCCATCAATCATCAATAATAATATCACAAATCATCAATACACGATAATATGGGGAAATCCTACGGGGGAAATCATAGCTATAAAAATAGGTTTTGTTGAGACATGGGTTACCTCTTAGCCTTAATTAATTCCTTGGCTATGAAGGGTCTTTCTTTAAGCTTTCTTGCTTTCTTGATTTCTTCTAAGGGAATTCTTGGAGCTCTTTTGGGGTGGTGAGTCGTTTATTGTGGTGGGGGGGGGGGTTCTAGGTGCCTCTTAAGTCCCCTATTTATATATTTAGGAGTCCTGATTAGGAACTAATATTATAGGCTTGCTAATTCTATTCCTTTTGGAACTAAGGATTGGGTTTAGGGATAAGGGCCCATGGACTGTGGTGGGCCTTTTTCCCTAATTAATTATTATAATTTATTCTTTCTCTTGGGCTATGGGTTAATTAATTAATTGGTTTTAGGGGTCGTAACACGGGGTGTTACACTCTCCCCCCCTTACGAGGGGCTTCGTCCCCGAAGCCCGGTGCGTTAATCCATTCTTTCACCCCCTAGGCATTCCGCATCTTGGCCTCCCGGTTAGGAATGTGGCCCCACGTTTTGCCTTAGCTGGGGTAGACTGGATTTCTGGTGGTGTTGTGATAGAAAGGTTTTGGGTCTACCTCGGTCTCCTGCTCCTGAGCTGGACGTCCCGCGAGTGCCCAAGGTGGCCTCGATTGCTGCTACCCTCTGATCTAGTGCGCGTGTCGTACGGATCAAGGATGAGAACCCTTCCTCCATGATTTGGTTTTGTCGGTTGAGCTGTGCGAGTATGCGTTCATTGATTGAGCCCTCGTTTTGCTCCCTTAGGTTCCCTCCTGATCGTGGTTGTACCGACGGGTTGGGTTCGTCATCCACCTCCTGGTCCTCATTTCCCTCCAGGATTCCGCAATCTTGCATTGCTCGTTTGAGCTTCTAGTTGGAGATGTCCAATTGGTCGACCAATTCTCTTCGTTCATCCTCGGGTTTTTGGCAAATTTCTTCGAGGGTGAGGTAATGTCCTCCCTCGGTGTAGTAGATATTATTGCGGCGTAGGTTTTGGGCGTTAAAGACCATGCCATTTGCGATCTTGACCTCGGTGTGGCTTAGGTCCACCCCCTTTTTCTCCATGATCCAACTTAGGATCATCCCGTAGGGTAAGCTAAGCCGGTTGCTTGATTTGCAAAACTCCATGTGTTTTAGCATGAGGGCCGGCAGGTTGAACTTGATTTTGTGTTTCAAGAAGTAGGAAAAGGTGCACTCTAAACTCCCCACGTCCTTGCTTTTATTGTTCGTGGGCAGGAGGCTATCGGTTACGATCATAACCAATATCTTTTGTTTCGCCGATAGCCACTTTCTATTCGGTCGTGTGGCCGAGGTGAATCCTTCCTCTTTCCCGAGTAGGTACCCGAGGTAGTCCTTGTACCCCGTGGTTTGGGTATCAATCCACCCCTTCCGGTCATAGTTGGACACACCCGTGGTGGTCAATTTCAAGAGCTTGGCCAAACGGCCTTCGGAAAGCACAATTTCCTTGCCACGGACCTTGGTGGTGATTTCTATTTTGTCACCCCGTTTGGTGGCCACAAGGTGTTGGTAGAATTCTTTCACCAAGTCGGGGTATGTATCCCCTTTGATGGCGAGGTAAGTATCTAAGAGCCCTTGATGTTTAAGCATATCAACCAATTCCGGAGAGAATTGGCCGGGTTCAAGTGCTTTACCTCCGATTACGGTGTAATCGGCATTGCTCCACTCCGGGGTGCGGATTCCGAGGGGTTTCTTCGGCATCGCGATAGGCGGCGCTTTTCCGGCGAGTTTCCCGGCGGGTCTCCGGCGGAATTTTCCGGCGAGTCATTTTTTTTTTCTTTTTTTTTCTTTTTTTTTCCCGGCGGTGACCTGAGCTGCTGCGAGGTGGCGACGGTGGGGCGGAGCTCGACGGCTGCTCGCCGAGGCGGTGGAGGTCTTCGGTGGCGTGGGGCGTCGATGGCAGCGGGCGGAGTTCGGGTGGATGGTGGGCGGCGTCTTTGGCGTTGCGGGTGATCTTCCGGCAGAGCGGCTGGGTGGTGGCGCGGCGGCGCTAGGCTGGCGGGAGGTGGTCGGACGGCGACGGCGTTCGGCTGGTGGTGTCGCGGGTGGCTGGTGGTTTTTCCGAGTAGGGGGGTGGTGAGGTGCGTGATAGAGGGAAGGGGAGGAAGTGGGGAAGGAGAAGGAGAGAAAGAAGAAGAAGGGTTTTTGATTTGGGGGTTTTGTGGGTTTTAGGGATTTGGAGAGG